AAAGTTAGAAAGGGTGTTTTGGAAGGTGTATTGTTATATACATATATACACTTTGAGTCTCTTATTGAGATACAGTGGAACTCCTGTATAACGAATTGCCTAGAGGTTTTAAATTAGTTTGTTGTAGATGAGTTGAACTGTAATGATAAGAGCATAATAAGGCTGATTTATGGGGTCTTGGGTGTGTGTGAATGGTTGGTCTTCTTTATTCAGTGTAGGGTAGGGTACTTTTGAAAAAAAAGTTTGAGGTGGGGTAAAAGAGGGATATTGGTTTTTGTCTCATTTTAAAAAACATTTTTATAAAGTTTGCGTGACTATTATCTACATTACACTATAGGTTTCTCTCAGAATACTTAGAACTTGGAAAACAAACGTATTCAGTAAACATAATACAGTAGAACTCTTGCATAACTACTGTACCCTGTATACTCGACTTTCCTTAGCTTGCCTCCTACCCTACTCTACCACTTGACTCCACCATACCCTACCCTACCTTACCCTAGCTAGTTATACACTACTTTATCTGGTCCATAGCCTATACCCCATCTTATGTTCTACATTATACCTAATAGTATGTCTAATTTTAGCTTTACCTGTGCTCTACTCTAGTCCAACTTTCACTCTACCTCAGCTCGCTTGTAGCTTTGATAATACAGTTTAATGGTATCGTATGCTTTACTTTACAATAGACTTTTTTACTCAAGCTTTACTCTTCTTCACTCTACCTTATCTTACGATTAACTTCACTATACCTCTTATGCCTTTCTTCTCTTTTATTCTATTGTCCTTTGAACTTTTACAAACTTTTTCACTAACACTTGATCCTTTTGAACTTTTATACTTATTCCTAGAAGAAATTGTCATTAATACTAATATTTTTTGAGGGCATGCACTTATCAACGGTAGAAAAACATCAAAATATATCAAAATATAGTGTTCGTTACCTATTTATTTTTATTTTATTTTGTTTTTACACTTTTTCTTGTTTTTGAGCTCAGTAAGTTCAAGATGGTCTGGAAAAGTGTACTAATTGTCTAAATTAATATTCGAATTTTTTGAAAATTTTAAAATTAAAAAAAAAATTTTTTTTAATTTTGAAAATTTTGAATTTTTGAAATTGAATAAAATACGACTTGTATACGTCTTAATTTTTTATGTCATAGTAATTTTTCTTTGAAACGGCTTTTCAAGTCTTCGAAATTCCAAAAAACATGTTATGATACCAAGAAACCGCCAAAAATTACTGTGCTCAGCCTCTTCTACACCCCCATGCCCTCTTCTAGACCTCCATGCTCTCTTCTACACCCCCATGCCCTCCTAATTGTAATTTAGAAACGTTGTGCCATAACATTTCGACCTTAATTTCTTTAACCGCCTCATTAGTTTGAATTGAATGCGAAGAAATGCCCTGAGGCGGGCTCAAAGTTTGGCGGATTTCGAGGCCATTTCGCCTCCGGAAATCGCGGCCCAGGGTGGCGAATAAAGCGCCCGGCTTCAGGTGGAACAGAGCTATGTTTTTTGGTGAGGTAGAGCTTCATGCAGTGCTGGGCGGGGTGTTTTTTATGTGTAAGGGGGGGAGAATTGAAATTATTTTTTGATTTTTTTTTTACTTTTTAAAGAGCTCGGGGAGGGGCAAGGGAAAATTTTTTAATTACGGTTTAGTAGACGTTTTTATATTAATTTTTGAAAGCATTCTTAAAAAATTTTTTAAAAAATTTTAAAAAGAAATCCTCAGGAGGGACCAAGTTCAAATTTTTCGAAAAATCAAATTTTTTCAGGCAAAGGGAAGAGAGGTGAGGATTTTAAATATAAGGTATTGTTTTTCATGTTGTTAGTCTTCTATTTTAATGCAAATTTAAAATTTTCGAAAAAAAATTTTTGATTTTTGAAAAAAAAATTCACAGGGGGGACCAAGTTCAACTTTTTAAAAAAAAATTTTTTTGGGCAGGCGGAAGAGAGGTGGGGGTTTTTAATTTAGATTTTTTTTGTATATTTATAGCCTCCCATTTTTATAGAAATTTTAAAAAATAAAAAAAATTTACGGGGGGGACCAAGTTCAACTTTCCTAAAAAACTTCAATAAAAGCCCAAACTATACTTTCCCCCAGGCCCAATCCCCATGCTTAACGCACAATACGCTCTCGCCTATTCAGGTCGTCAAGCACCAACAACAAACTTTTCCGAATCCGCGAAACTATAGCCGGGTATTGTTGGCTATTGTGGTCACTGCCCATATTAATATTAATGCGTTTCGCCCGCGGCGTTTTATGTTTTTTACAACTGCGATTCCCGGTATTGTTTGGGCCAGTTATTTTTGGAGCCTTTTACAATGCGGTTTTCGTACGAGCGCCTATACATATTTTAGTATTGGCCGTTCGAAATCGGGCGTCACGAGGCTTGGGCAAGGGATTTTGTTCGGGGGGAGGCTTTTGGGTTTTTTGGAGGATAAAGGTTGAGGGTGATTTAAAAATGGTTTTTTCGGTTTCAGCAGGTACTGTAAATACTATTTTTAATTTTAAAATCTTTTTGTTTTGTCAGTCTGTCTATAATCTCCCTTTCGCTGCACCGTGCAGGCCCTTTTTTAATGTTTGCCATTGTTTTTGGTACCTATATGACTTAATATGCAGTTTACGTTTCCTATGTTTATCTTGCTTTCTGTGTCATTTTTGATTTTTCAAAATTTTAAAAAATTTAAATGTTTTGAAATTTTTAAATTTTAAGCCCCTGAGGCTATAATGGATTAAAACACCGAGAAAAACCTTAAAATTGTATTTTCAACTCTCAAAACGTCTAAAAGTTTTTTAAAGTTCAAAAACATTGCCTTTCTCCCCCCCCCCAGTCCCTTCCCTACGCCAACTCTACAACTCCCTGAGGGCCGAAGTCTGAGTAATTTACTGTATGCCCAAAACTTGTTTACTGTTTTGTTTAAATTCCAAAACGTCTCGTTTACTGCATATTTATGGTAATATTTGGACGTGCTTTCACTCATTTTCATGCCAATCAACCCTTTTTGATGTCTACTATAATATACAGTTGGGGGTGGGTTTTGGACAAAGATCTATGGGAATTGGCCGGATTTTGCAATTTTTATTATCATCGTTTATACATCTTGCAATTTTGATATTATGGAAGGGTATAATTTTGTTGGTTTACTGTGAATTTTGATTTTGTATTAGGTGCCGGCAAAAGTTTTTCCACGATTTTTGTTTTTACCAAAATTTAATATTTAAAAAAAAGAACATCAACTAATGAACAAATATATGTACCATTATTATCAACGACCTGTTGCCATTCCTTCGGCAGCATTTGGATTCAACTTCTACAGAAACCTGGAGTTTGAGAATTGAAAAAGTTAGCCCACCATCTTTTGAGTTACTCTCGATTGTTAAAGTGTGTTGCGTTCAGGTGGTTTTGAAGAGAGTGGAACATATTATAATCTGTAGGCACCACATCAATTGAGTACAGTGCATATAGCATCACAGCCCAGCCGAAGCTTTTCAGCTTGTGGTGGGTCAAGTTTGTCACATAGGCGCGAGCAGTATCATGAATGAAGAAGGTTCGATTCTGTTCACCATGCAATGCCGCCGCAACAGATTTAATTTGTCTACAGTAGACATCCACAGGGCTCGTAGTTCCATGTGGTAACATTTCCTAGTACACAATACCTGTTGAGTTCCAGCTAACGCTGATCATCCTATCCAGTGGGTGAAGATCAGGTTTTGGGGTTGGTGTACCTTGTTCTCCACGTTCAAGCCATTGTTTCTTCCTGGTGTGATTAACATACAGTACTCACTCCTCATCCCCAGTAACCAAATTGCCAAGCCATGCAAACGTCCTTGGGAACATCAACAAATAAGTGCAACTTCCACTTAGCGTTTCAGCTGGTCGCTGTTGGAATCATGTGGAACCTCTTGACCATATTTCCATGATCTTCCAAGGTCGTGAAGTCTAGTTAATATGGTAGAAGGATCACACTGAAGCTCTACAGTCAAATGAGTACAAGTTTGTCTGGGGTCTTCTTCAATCAGCTTCAGAAGGTGGGGTTTCTTCAACGCTGATGGTCTACCATATCGAACTTTTCGGACATGTCAAAGTCACCGTTTTTGAACTTGTGGAACCAAACTTTTGTGATGTCGTAAGAGACAACTGAAGGTCCTACAGCACTGCATATTTCCTTCGTCGCTCTTTTTGCGTTGCCGGGATTGCGGAATTTGAGAAGCAACACTGCCCAAACATGGTCATGGTTCACCTTGGTTTCCTGAACCAGCGTAAACAACAGAATGCTTGAACATGCAATAGCTTTAGTCCTTGGACAACTCTTTATATAGGTTATCAACAGAAACTTCTAGAACTGTCTATAATTTTTTGGTAAATTTTAGAAAAATAGTGGAAAAACTTTTGCCGGCACCTAATAGATATTTTGAGAAAATTTTGAAATTTGGTGTATCTTGTTTAAAGTCAAATTACCGTAACTTCTAAATAGAAAATAGGCTTGGGTTTGGTATTGATTTGTAGCTAAGATAATGTAGAATCTAAATCATAAAACATTTTGGCCCTTTTGTTATCGACCAGTCGAATATGACCTGTTATTCTAGGAAAAACGGCGAGTTTTCAAAAAATTTTCGAAAAATTTGGTCTGTCTTGTTTAAAGCCAAATTACAGTAACTTATCAATAGAAGATGGGCTTGGATTTGATATTGATTTGTAGCTAAGATAATGTGGAATCTAAATCTTAAACAAATTTTGTCATTTTTATTATCGACCAGTCGGTAATTACATTTTTTAGTATCTTTGTTTAAACGATATTTCAAGCCTTGTATTGCCAATTTAAACCTTTACCAAGTCCATTATTACCACGCGGACCCATCTAATTTACAACGATTCCCTCGCGAGCCCTATATCCACCCCAATATTTACCATGCCACCTTGTAGGTTGATAGCCTTTTCATCAATTCCATTATATTGATCTTCATCCCCACTTCATTCCACTAACCCAACAGAATGAATCTGAGCTCAGCACATTGTAAACTACTACAACGGGTATGGAGAGAGTTGCGCGAGGAGAAGTTGAAGCAGATCGAGCGGCCGACCTCAGTGTATTCGTTCGAGGAGGCGGCCAGTAGCTCCGGAGACCCTTTTATGGCCTTGGAATGTCCTCTGAACCTCAACTTATCGATTGATCCTGATCAACACACGCTATATCAGATTGTGCTCGGGTTTGTTGACAACGCTGTCTGGGAGTTGAGAAGCAGAGAGTTCCGGCTGCGACTTCGAGCACACTGTCGACGCTTCGGCCGACAAATGGCGGCGGTCTTCCGAGGCACAGCAGACCTGGATCAATCCCTATCATGGGAGCTACTGGGCTTAAGCCAAGTGCTGGAAGGCATGATCAGCAGTAGCCGCACGCTAAACCCATCACATCAACAGAGTTTTCGCCGCAACGCCACGAAACTCATCATTTGGCAACTGTTTCTGGAGAACCTCTCCACGATGGTGTTCGAAGCGTTCTGCTGGAGTGTAGCCCGCGACTACACGCCCAACCCATTACCAACGATCTATGAGGCCGACCCGAAGTTGTGTTTCCCACATCGTGTACATTTTCGACAGAAAATCCCACTTTTGAAGCGACTATTGGCCAAATTTGTTAGTTTTACCATGGTTTTGATGTTAATATAGGGGTTTTTGGAAGGTGTTTTAGAGATATAGGTTAAGATATAGGTCTTTTATAGCCATGTGAGTTAAGATATTGCGTTTTACTAGCCCCAACGCTTACCAAAAAACCTTATTAAAAAAAACGGACCGGTTCACAAAAAAAAAATTTTTTTGAAAAATGACCACAGGGGGGACCAAGCTCAATTTTTAGAAATTTTTTTTCGTTTTTCACAATTTCAAAATTTCAAAATGGCACACCATGGCCTGTTTCAAAACATATGGCCATGTAAAAACTACAAAGTTAACTTTTTTACTGTGGTTATTTATTGCCGGAAAGATGGATGATTAACCAGAGTTACAACATTTGTAGCACTTCAAAGGTTTTTATGCCCATTATGTTGTTATAGATAGGTCTTTACGAGTTTGACACTTTGTACTTTAGGAGAACAAAAAATCCTACCCTTATCTTATCCTACTCTTTTTTTACTCTACCCTAGCTTTTACCACACCCTGTCCCTAAAATTTGGAGTGGGGCTAATAAAATTTGTCATATTATTCTCCCTTTGGCTTTCAAATTCAGCACAAAGTACAAAAAATCTTTTAAATTTGACATTTTTACGGTAGAAAACACTACTTCTTGAATCGCCAACGGCGTTGTGCATACAAAATTAGACATGCAAATGAGTTACGTAATAAAAATGCAAAATTTTTTTGAAAACACAGCTTCCTGGTCCTCTTATATTAATCCGAATGAACTCAAAAACAAAAATTTATTAGATTGTGTAAAAAGTAATGAGCTACTGAAATCAATATTTCTAGCAGAGACATAGCTCATTAATTTTTATACATACAAGCTAATAAATACTTTTAAACTTTTTTAGCGTATTTTAGGGAATTTAGAAGCTCACAAATGTTTAAATTGTCATTGCCTTAAGCAAAATTCATAGGAATTTCAAAAATTCAAAAAAATTTCAAAATTTTAAAAAAATTTGTGAAAAAGTCCGGAAAATTAAAATTTTTAGAAAATTTTAAAAATTATCAAATTTAATTTTCAAATTTCGATCCTTAACTAAATTTTTTCGAATTTCAGAGCCGAGGTGCCGACAAAGAACGGGGAAAGTCATGCTCGCGAGGTGAAGGTATGGGAGCGGCGCCATTCTCAGCTCGGTTTGTCCGGAGCCGCACATTTTGTGCCGAAGAATGCTGAAACGTAAGTTTCATGGGCTTAAAATGCCATATTTGTCGATATTTAAGTGCTGCAAAATATGATACAATGTAGTACAAAAGTTGGTACTATATAGTACGAGGTGGTACTACATAGTACGACATGGTTTTTTAACAAGCCTAGCCATCAAGACATAATAGACCCATGTCTTGAAGCTAAATTACCTACTTAATCCGTTGACCTTAACCAAGAAGCCCTTTGTCATCTCTCCGCAACTTATTGGAGGTCAAGTTTGGTTTGATCAGATGAGGATTAGGTAATAAACAAACAGCTTTATTGGGAAACATGAAGAATATTGAGAGACTTGATTGAGAAACCTGAAGAATATTGAGGTAGACAGAGGTTAGAGGTCAACACAGTCTATAACAATATAATTTACATGGATTTTGTCCTAAAACAACATCCTTTAGACTTAGAAAACCTCAAAGTACATTATATGAGCCAAGAAAACCTAAAACACCATCATCTACATCAATTTTCGTCTAAAACAACATCAAAAGAGCCAAAAAAACATGAACAACATCTTCAAAATCAACTTTAATCTACCGTAACCAACACAAACATTCCGACAGTCTTTTTTTGACGTTTCCATGGCCATTACGAAGGTGGGAAGATGGATTGAGCGTAGGCACTAATTGCCAGATCACTTTTCAGTTCAATTTTCGTAAAGACCACCTGACTGTTTCGTATCTTTTCGACTCGAAATTGGGCCTCGTTCATCTTGATCAGCTATTTTTAACACGATTATTTGAAGGCGAATCACTGTAACATCAACAAAGTGGCAGATTAGGGGGGACTGGAGTGGACAAAGAGCTGTTTAGAAGGAAAAGAGCTGTTTAGAAGGATAATATTGGAGAAAACAGCCGATTATAAGGAGAATATTGGGAAAATAGCCATTCAGGTCAATAAAAATGAAGAAAACAGCCATAAAGACAAATTGTCAACAAAGCACGGTCATTTTGACAGATGACCAATAAAATTTTAAAGCCAATAACAATGATCTTCCTGACATAACATTAATTTGTCCACCAGCATCAACAAGATTTCAAAAATCAACGAAAAATCAAAAAATAAAGTGAAAATACGAGTGCGGTAAAATTACTGTAACTTTTAAATTTCAACGAATTTTAAAATTTTCTTTTTCGGGATAGTTGATCAAATGAATAAGCTATAATCAAAAGGAATTTCAAATTTATACCTATTTTTTAAAAAAAGTTATGACCACATCAAATTGAGATATTATTTTCTTTAAAAATTCGTAAAAGTGGTGTTTGGTAAAGTTACTGTAACTTTTAGTTTTGTAAATTTTAAAGTTTTCTTTTTTGAACTAGTTACAGAAATGAATGAGCAACAATCACTTAAAATTTAAAGCATCTACCTATAATTTTTAAAAAGTTACAGCTGAAACAATTTCAAATAAAAATCTATTTTCAACTCAAAATTAATCAATTCTATCTTTAACCTGCTTTTCCTTGATGAATACAACCTAATCCGTCCTCAAAGCCACAGCAACAACAACCTCAAGCTACTCCAACATCTATTTCTTCCTTTCACCAATATAAGTCGCATAACAACACTTTAATCAACAACAAAACCCAAAGCCATTGATTAGATTAATGTATTATTTTAATATGGACATCAAAACGAATTATGTGCCGTGTTTGATATAATAACGAGTAGAAGTGGAATAAATAATTTAGTTGAAGCCCAGAAGCTATTGTTGACAAAAGATGGTGGAAAGGCCGCGCAGATTGAAGACCCGCTCGTCGGAGGCGTCGGGCGGTGCGTAGAAGCGCTTCAGGTCCGGGTTGTGCATCGATTCGTATTGCCTGTCGGGTGCGGCGAAGATCGGCTCCACCTGTGTTTGAGAATAAAGACGACGTAACTCGGGGTTCATCAGTTTCAACGGTTGCTGCTGAATTTGAGATTGTTGTTGCATTTGAGGTGGAATGAACGTGAATGGTTCGGGCTGAACGACTGGTGATGTTGTGAAAGACTAAAATGAATATAATTATTAAAGCCGTGATAAATATTATCTACAAAGCATCAAAATATTTGAATTTGGCATCAAAACAAGAAATATTCATTTCGCTCACAATTTGTTATGTTATCCTTGACAAAACTTCAAATTTGGGTAATAAAAAATCATATTTTTACCAAAACAACATACATCAACAAGAATACACTCTTCCGCATCTTTTAAACTATAAACCTCATAAAAACGACCCATACTAACAGCACAGCAGGCCACTTTACTTTTACGACCAATTTCGAATGTTTATCCTTTACGGCACTTGAAAATTCGGACTGTAAAACAATTCAAAAACCTTAGAAACAGATAGCAAAAAGACAATTAGACTATTCTGCATCTTCTAAGCTGTAAAACTCAACAAGAAGCCAAGATTTGATTTAAATATCAATAAGTCTATATTACCCATCAAAGCTCATCTAAAGTAATACCGAAAAACATCATGAATCTTGCTGAAACGTATTCAAAACAACACAATAAGTTAACCAGGCCTTTTCTGCATCTTACCCTAACTATTCAACACCATTTCCTCAAGTTTCATACCTAATTCACCCATCTACAACATAAAACCTTCAAAAACCTACGTTTTCCGGAGATTCCTCCTCTTCGCCGTCGGTGCTCCAGATAGATCGGCATCGTTTTCGGTGGCCGGTGCTCTTGGGATCTTCAAAAAGGTGCTTCAGATTCAGCAAGTTGAATTGTTTCTCTTCTTCTGGCGTGGGATCACGGTAGAAGCGGTCCAACGCCATGCCGGGCGAGCCATTAATCAGCGGCTTGAACTTGAGCTGGTCCATATTATTATGTACAATAAGCTATTACGGGATTAGTGTTACCACCACACGCACCAGGGCACTGCTCCCTGTTCGTCTTCTTGGTTCCAATCAGCCAACACCTTCCTTACCGCAAGCGCGCGCCAAAAAAAGGCGGCGCTCACGTTCGACGCGCCCTGGATTCGCGCGACATGTTATACGCAACGGAAAAAGTTGCACCATTTCTCGGCATCGCATTCGGATCTGAGGAAAATACTGTAGGAATCGCTAAATATAGTTTAAAAACTATATAAAAATGATATTTTACATAAGAGTTGTTAACAATTTCATTCAACACATTGAGTTAGAGGAGATTCTGAAGATAATTCGAATTTTTAAATTTAAAAGTTAAATTTCAAAAAGTTACAGTATGAAAAGCTAAAATATAGTAAAAAAACACTCCAAAGATAAATTTTCTAATGAATTTGGTTTCAGATACCGCGTATTGTATCCATACGAACCGAGACAAGGCGATGAACTGGAACTCGAAGAGAATGATATTGTTTTTGTAGTCGAGAAGTGTGAGGATGGATGGTTTATCGGTAAGGATTGATATAAAAATATTCAGCTGGGTTTTTTCTACATTTTGATGTATACAAATGTTAGGTTTGGAATATTTTGATGTTATAAAATGGCATTTTTCGAGACCCGTTTACCTAAAATATTGCAAGAATTAGGTAGCCTTTGTTAATTTGAGTATAACTTTTTTACCGGTTCACCAAATGTTAAAATTTTTTGATTCTTAGACACACAAGATATTACTTTAAAAGACTTATTACCGTATTTTATCATGCTATTTTCAGGAACATCGCTAAAGTCCGGTCAATTTGGAACATTTCCCGGGAATTACGTTGTCAAACACTGAACCTCAACCAGCTTTTTTCTTTCGTTAGTTGCCTTTTCCAAATATTATTGTACTACATCTTCAACGTCCAGTTTCGCCCTTGTCTTCAATGTGTTCTTTAATCAAAACGGTGTATTTTATCATTGACATTTGATTCGTTTTATCAAGTTTTATGTATGACACAGTAAATTTTATATTATAACTTGGAGGAGTTGATTTGAATAAAACGGAGGGTATGGTGGGCGGAGCAGGGCAGAACAGGGCAAAGCAGAAGAAGAAAGTACTAGTCATTTTTTATGTTGTAAAGAAAGTTTTTGTAATTTTTTATTCATTAAAGAAATTTTTTGCTATTTGATTTTTTGTAAACAAAGTTCTTGCTGTTTTTATTGAAATTATCCTGGTTTTTGTGTTCTGCAGCCTGCAGACGACAAGTTATACGAAGACTACTAAATTTAGCCATTTTTTGTTTTGTAAAGAAAGTTTTTGTCATTCTTTTCTTTGTAAAGAAAGTTCTTATCATTTTTTGCTTTGTAAAGAAAATTCATGCCATTTTTTCTGTAAGGAAAGTTATTGCGAAAACACTAAGTTTCTTGTTCTGCAGCTTGCGGGCGGCAAGGCATGGCACGGTGGGACAAAGCAGAGTAGAATAGGATAAGGCATGGCACGATAAAGTATGACAGAGCAGAGCAAGAAGTGTTAGGGTATGGTGTAAAAATAATCCTATCAAGCCAAATCAAGATCAAAAAATCTAATTTATTTGAGCAAAATACCGTATCTCCTTACTGAAGAACGTGCTAAAAGTATTGTCAAACACCATAACATACTCTCCAACGTCCCTGCATTCAATTGTTTCATATTCTGGCACAAATTCGGTCAGAGTTTTGATTTCTGGCCATATTAATTTGTTACCTAATTTGATGGAAAAAGTAATATCACCATTCGATAAGAAAAACCACTGTAAATGTTGGTGTAGTTTGGTACAATTCACTGTGATTTCACGTTGGGAACGCGCTGGAACGACAAGTTTTGTCAATTTTTCGTCTGGCATGTGGAGGGGATTCTTTAGGTGGGAGTACCTGAAGTTTTAAATTAAGTTTTTGCCAGTTTTGGTTTTGTAAAGAAAGTTCTTGCTATTTTATGTTTTGTAAAGAAAGTTCTTGCCATTTTATGTTTTGTAAAGAAAGTTCTTGCCATTTTTTGGTTCGCAAAGAAAGTTTTTGTCATTTGTTGCTTTGTAAAGAATGTTCTTGCCATTTTTAAAGAAATCATAGTGATTTTGGTGTTGTGCAGCCTGCAGATGACAAGTTATACGAAGAAAACTAAATTCAGCCTTTTTTTGTCCTATAAAGAAAGTTCTTGCCATTTTTTAACAAAATTGTACTTCCATTATGATAGAAGTTCAAAAACACCCACTTAAAGTCTTCAGGCATGATTCCACCCATTCTCAAATGGCCATATTCAGGATGACCATTCACGTACTGTTTAGTACCACCAAACAACGTTGGTAGATTTTCCTGGCCAACAGCTTCGAAAAGATCCGAATGATAGTCTGATCCCAAAATTTTAATTTTTTCTTTTGTTTTTTGGGATAAAACCGGCTTTACAAAGGTAAAAGCCGTCTGGAATAAGGTCGGAGCGTTGGTGACAAACACTCTTTTGGTGGTTTCTGGGAAGAGATTCTGAAAAATATTGTTGTTTTAGCATTTTTAGTACTGTTTGAATGTGGTTCTTGGAATTTTTAAAAAAGGTTCGTGAAACTTTAAAAATTTCAAAATTTTTAAAATTTCAAAAAAAAATTTAAATTTTGAAATTTTCTTTTAAAAAATTATAAAAGAGCATTTTCTGAGGACCTAAAACTTATTTTTTTAAAGTTTTGAGCTTAAAATTTGGCAAAAGTGACAATGTAAAAAAAAATTTTTTAATTTTAAAATTTTGAAATTTTACAAAATTTTGAAAAAAATTTTTAAAATATTCGAAATTTTACCTGTACAATGCTTAGAAAGTTGGTATAGACTTTAATTCCAGGAGTAAAGAGATGGTCTCTATTGTAGCCTTCCAGGTCCATTATCACTGTAAAACCAAGCTTTTTCTTTTGAATTTTCTCTTGATTTCTGAAAATTTTTAATTTAAAATGTCTTTATTAGAAGGTTTTAGTACCCTATTCTACTCTACCATACTCTAGTCTGCCCTACCCTCATCTGCTCTCACTTACCCTCATCTACCCTTACCTTATTCTACCTTACCCTACCCTTAGCTACCCTTGCTTACTCTACCTTACTATACTCTATCTTATCCTACCTTGCCCTAACCTACCTTAAAAAACTAAAGTTACCCTTACTTCATATAGGTATACCCAAGAATAGCAGCCCAAATAGCGTTCCGTGTGATCTCACTAACCCGACTACATTTCAACAATGATTTTGTATGAAATCGGCCAAGCAGAACACAACTGATGAGATCTCCATTCTTATCAAGCCCAATCAATCCTCCAGTATGATACTCGATGGTTTTGTTGAATCGCCTCAGGTTCAACTCAACATCATCAATGGAATTGAAGTCGATATGGTCTGTCGATGGGAATGTGCTGATAATGGCTGCTGCTTCTCGGATTCGAGGGATTATTTGATCTGAAGCGTAGTTACTTTAATATATTTTATTTTTAAAAACAATATGAGCGTTTCTCATCGAAAACCCTCTCTTATAAACCTAAAACAATATAAAACATACCATGATTATTGTCCCACCCCTCAATCCACCTCATCAAGCAATAATCATCGTCGTAGAATTCAGGAACCACCCCCAAAGCTTGTCTCAAATCCAGAACTAATTTATTATCATCTTGAGAAAGTACAGTCATTACCATTAGCTTTATATTAATATGACTCCCCAAATTGGTTCGTCTAGCGTAAATAAACGCATTGATAAGAACTTCATACTCCTTATGGGCTTTTATTATCTAAAATACTCGTATCGACTTAATGAAACAAGCATTGACAGGCGTTCTTGTGTTACACTCACAATTTTACCAATGATAATTGTGATTAACATCAGTTTTTATACAGCTTTAAGTCAAAAAAAACATAATTTTAACGGTGTTTCTTCTCTATAATACGTCAAAAATGTAATTTTTTAAAGATTGCTTCATAAAAAAATGCTCAGTCAAATAATATCACAATCCAAGTATCATATCACTAGTTTATATCATCATCCTATCCTTTATTACGGTATTAAAATGAAATATAAGAGAAGTTGTACAAACTAAGAGACCTAGCGGCCCATCCAAGATCACCGGAGACGTTTCGAACTGTTTAAACGGATTTGGCTGATTCGACTTCAATGTATTTGATCAGATCAGCACGTTCATCAGCCTTCTTCAAACCGGCGAACACCATCTTGGTTCCGGGAATGTACTTCTTGGGGTTGAGCAAGTACTCGAACAACGTTTCGCGTGACCAGACGACACCCTGGAAATTAATTATTAAAAATAGCTGACGCATAGCTAAAACACATCCAAAAACTTAAAGACTTTCCCTAAATCCTAATATAACTAACAAAAGCTCAAACTATACCTTGTTTTTGTTGGCAGCGGAGTAATCGAAGCCGGGCACGGTACCGGACGTCCTTCCGATGATACCGTTCAAGGTAGGTCCAGTCTTGGTAGCTTTGGAGTCAACGACGTGACATTGAAGACATCTTTGCTTGAAGACCTTCTTTCCCTTCTCGTAATCTCCTTCTGGGATGTCAGCCATTTCCTCAAGTGTTACTAAACAAACTGTAAAAACAAATCAAAGTAAAATCAAGAAATATAAACATGGTAATGGACCGTTGTAACCGAAAACACGACAAGTATATATAATATCAAGTTTATGTAAAACAACAACAAAAAAATTCATTCAAACAAACACCATCAAAACGCTTAGGCAAAGTGAGTTCTGGGCCGGCGAGTGGTGAAGAGGGCGACGTGGCTTCTCTTTGGTACACGGTGTGGCAGTGGGAATCTGATCTTGGAGTCGTGGAACTGCTTGACGTTGGGGCGCTTGGTGTCGGCGGCTTGGACGCGTTGCACCTTGATGATTTGGATACGATCAGCTTGAGCACGATGGCGCGCCCCCATGTCACGGTAGGCTTGGGTGACGGCTCCAGCGACTGTCACGTCACGGTATTCACGGTACATGTTGTGATGTCCGGTACGGGAATCGTAACGCAGCCACACACCAAAGTTCTTGACATTGCCGGCCTTGCGTTCGAATACCTAAAGGTTTATAGGTAAAAATGTAAAAAGATATATAAATTTTAACCTAAACTGTAAAAAAATAGCCTAGAATAACATTTTTTCTAGCTATTGTATCATAAAAACCCCCCAAAAAGCATAAATTTCAAACTAAAAAGCAGAATACTTCATAAAAACGTCTGTTTTTCTATGATAAAATCATGTGAGCAATTACAAATTAAATATTAGACAATCTGAAACTGAAAACAAAGTTCCGTTCAACTTTAAAGTACCCGCAATAAAAAGATAACAAAAAGCAAGGTCTTTTATCGCAAACCAATGATCAAAACTATGTGTAATGCTTAGGAAATTTCCGGAAAACACCGAAGTGGTTTTTAGACGAAAATAATACCTAAACATCAAACTTTTGATCAAAAACTTGCAACTTCATCCTTTTCTATTTAATGAATTTCAAAATATTAACTTTTTCTATGTTACAGCTACTTAAAAGCTAATCAACTTCAAATTTCACGTATAAAACCTAAAATAACCGCCCAACCCCAAAAAACCATCTGATATCATCAAAAAGTCCCCAAATCTCAAAATAAAAATCAAATCGATAAAGCTTAAAAGCACCCGCTCAAAGTATAGAAAACTAAAGGCCAACTGACTTCTTCGCATGAGACGATTTCTCCTTGGGTCTTCTTGACACGACGAAGGGATGAGGCAAAGTACCAGAAGCGAGATTTGGCTACAACGTGGTTCGAGGCAAAGATTTGCATCTTGTAGAGTCTTGGGTTGGGGTCACGCTCGGTCGGCAATTTACGGCCAACAATGACAAACTCTCTCAACTAAAATATGTATTGATATTATAATGTCTTTGTAAGTTTGTTGTTCCTAATTTAGTCTCAAATGCTTAAAAATAATCCCTAAAGCAAGTCTAAAAAGTTTAAGAACCACATTTTTCAAAGTAAACTAGTTTTATCATAATTTAAAATATTATCGTACCTAACCTCGTAAAATCTAATTTTTGCTTAAAAACCTCTTCCTTTTTTAACTCTTTTTGTTCCAAAAGATAAATAAGAACCTTCCTAAGATTTTCTATAAAGAAATCTAAACAAAAAGTTAATTTAGACTATGTAAATCTCAAAATCCTCAAAAACAACATCAATTTTATCCCTAAAACAATAAAACTCCATCCTATACTCCCTCCAGCAACTAAACTTTAAAACCCAGCCTCAAAAAGCTCTCTCATATCTCATACATCTTTCCAATCCAAAACCGATATCTAAAAATTAAAAACAAAATAAGGAAAATTAACTTACAACTTCACCCGAAGCCTTAATTGGCATGATTGAACCTGTAAAACAACAAAATTAGTATAATCCAATTGTAAAAATCAATAATAATCCAAAATAAGTACGATATCGCGTAAAAATTGTAAAAAATTTTAAAAAGTTATTTTCTTCTTCAACATAGGAAAAAGTCCGAAATTCCCACCGTATCTCGAATTTCTCGCCAATTTGCTTGCTTTCGTGGTGGGACGCACACATAAGTTAAGTGTTTTGCTTGAAAATAAAATAATTTTGGTAAAAAATAGTGTTTTTAATCTAAAAAACGAAATAATTAATGGATTAAATGTTACAAAGAGGTAGGACGATTGTAAAAACTTTATATTAACGGTTTTTTTTAAAAAGTACAAGGTTTTTATGAGAGTTTAAACGTTGAAACCTGTTGTTTTCATGGTTTTTATTTCAGCTGGCCTGGTATGCCGAAGATGGGTGTCCACAACATCTTCTTCCCAACAACATTCGACACATTATGATCCAGATAAGAGGAATGACAATCCCAGTTTAGCTCATATAGATGAAAAGTTTGAAAGCATACCAAAGGAGAACAGGAACAAGTCGACGTTTATGGCCGCTATTGGTATGTTAACTTATTTATTTTGATGTTCTGTGTTTAGAAATGTTTAACAAAAGGTCGGGAGGAGATCGAGGACATGTTGAATTTGTGACATCGGCTTTAAAACACATGAAAGATTATAATTTACACAAGGATCTGGAGGTTTATAAGGCGTTGCTGAGGGTTTTTCCTCCTGGAAAGTTTGCCTCTACTAATATTTGGCATGTGAGTTTTTAAAAGTTGCTTTAGTGTGTATAGGACGTTCTGGAAGCTTTTTATTTTGATTTAAATCTAAAATGGCTTCTACAAATATTGTTTTAGAGCCTGTATAACGTCAATTATAATAATATACCAAAAATATAAAAAATACGATTTTGAACCTAAATTTTGAACCTTTTTTTATTTTAGAGAACATTCATGCACTATCCGAACCACCAAGAATGTGCTGTGAACGTTTTGGACGAAATGGAGTGGTATCACGTATATCCAGATAAAGAAGTAGATGACATCGTAAGTGCCTCATTTGGTCCATGGACGACGGTGGGGAAGAAAGTGAAGAGACAGTTGTATTGGTTACCTAAACTACGATATACGAACAAGTACTTGGATGTGAGAAAAGTGGAAAACAAAGATCTTAGCTTTTTGGAGTTGGCCAAGCTGGCTTTGGACATGATTTCTAGAGATCCTGGCAAGGAGATTACTATCAGCAAGGTACGAAACGATTGCTGAGAGTATAAGCTTTGATATTTTGTATAACTTGGGTTTTAGTATTGGGCGGGGTAAATGTTACGGAAATTTTTTTCTTTAAAAATCTTAAATTTAGGATTTTTTGCTTCATATTTAGAGAAAATATGACTTTTAAGTAGTCTTTTAAGGCTAAGAATTGATATTTATATAAATATTAATTATGACAGTTTTAGATGCAAGATGATACACTAATAGCATCAGCTCAATCACCCCTACAAAAGGAATTAATCGAAGATCTACCCAGAGAATCCACCTGTTTCTACGTCGACGGCCCTTTTCATCATCATGTCCGAGACAACTTTTGTCAATACATAGTCTTATCAACCGATCCAATAGGTTCAGCTGAGCGATTAGTCGATAAATTCGCGGAACATTATGATCTAGAGAACATTGACGAGACCAGGCTCTACAAAGGTGTACTAGACGAGTTCTATGACGAACCTGATGAACCAACGATTCATGAACAGACTGACCAGACAATATTGGCATTGGGGATGATAGAGTATATTGATCAGAATACAGCATCAGCTTGGGTGAATCATTTACAGGAGACGAATCCAGCGCTACGAGAGGCTACGGTGATTTTGAGGATACGAGACTTTTCAAAAGGAAGAAAGGATGGTGAGAGGGTTCATACTGACGAATCACATTATGGAATGAAAGGTCAAGGGAATGCAGGTGATAATGTTAAAGATTCTGGGAATGAAGGAGGGATGAAAGAGGAGTTTGATGAAGAAGTTGGTATGAGAAGGCCAGGTAACAACAAAGAGAAAGAAACAAGTAGTGACGATATGAAACAAGAATGTAGAAGTCCGGATGAACAAGAGAAAGAAGACAAAAGTCATCAAAATGTAGATAAATCAAGTAGAGACAAAGTGAATGAAGAAGGATCAGGTAAAACTCAATAAAAACAGAATTTTACCTGTTTGAACTTTAAAAGATCTTTAAAGTTGGTTGTCACGTACATATTAGGAATATATTGTTGTTTTGTTCATAAAGTATATTTACATTAAATTAGTATATTATACAGAAAAGGAGGCTTTGAAAAGTGTTTGCACGGTGCAATAGAAAGGTTTATTTTCATTGCACTGTGCAGTCCGAAAATGATGCTGCACGGTGCAGCAGGCAAACATCAAAGAATTGACTGCGCTGTGCAAGCAATAACGGAAAAATGCTTGCACAGTGCAATCAATTGTAATGAATAAAGCGCACTGTGCAATACATTTTGGTGCTTTGTTTCGGTTATTGTAATTAGTAGAAATGCAATTATGACACTTATAAGTCTATTTAAAATATTTTTTAACATTTTTAGAACTTTGGGAAATTCATTTCTTTGATATGTGGCTTCAAAAATTACTGCACCGTGCAAAAATACATTCATGAACCATTGCACCGTTTAAAACCTAAAGCATTAATAACTAAAATAAACTCAAAGCTGTAATAATTAATAATAATTTATTTGCATAATAACTTAATTGTACCCGTGTTTAATTATTGTCATATCATTAATTGCACATTGGTTTAAGGCCGGTGTACTGTGCCATTTTGCACAGCCAGAAGTTGCCAATCTCTGGGAAGGGGTTGGGCTGGGCGACGAAGCCCTGATTACTCATGGATAACACATTTGTCGTCGAGTTTGAGCGATATCTGGGCCATAATTTGGTTTTCCGGGGGTTTGGGTTACTGTAAATTAGAGGTATTTTGGGTTCCTGTATTTTTTAGGTAATATTTGCTTAATTTTTTAAAACTTAAGTCCTAACCTATTTAAAACATAAAAAACTTTAAAAATGTTGTAGTACTCACCCAGAACGCACAAAATTGATAATAGCATCAGCGAAGAAGTGTTGAGCTTTGTCATTCCGGTTTTCGTTGTGAGAGTTGAATAACAAGTTCTCAATACAAAAGCCGGTCGAATGGAAGTAAAAGGTATGCTTGTTTTCCATAGCTCGTATCAACAGCCTTGACAAGGTGTGATAGTCGAATCGGATCTGGAACAGAAGGTAAAATACGGGCGTTTCAATTGGGCAGAAAAAAGGTTGTAATAAAGCAATGTAAGGTAATAAAGAGGGCTTTAATAGGGCAGTGTAAGGTTGTATCAGGTTTACCGTAGAAACTTAGCATAATGATAGGGTGTGGCAGGGAAAGTAGGGTACGGCAGAGCTGAGTAGGATAGGGTAGCGTAGGAAGATACTCGGCGAGGCGGAAGAGGAAGGAGCTCGAATTAAGTAATAGTAAAGCCGAGGGTGGACTAAATTAAGCTTATGACAGGCCCAAGGTATGGTGTTTTAAATAAGAATATGGTAGGGGAAGGCTACGGTAAGTAATCTGGAGTATGGTAAGACAGGGTAGGATAGATTAGGGTACAGTATGGCAGGGTAATTTAACATAGGTTAGAGTTGGATAAGGCTAATGTGGAATTGGCTACGGTAAGGCATGGTACGATAAAGAAAAGAACACTAAAGAAGGGTACGGTAAGGTATGGCAAGAAAAGTAATAAGAAAAGGCAGGGTAAGGTAGAGTAGGGTAGGGCAGGATGTGGAGGTAGGGTAGAGTAGGGTAGGGTAGAATAGGGTAGGTTAAGGTAGAGTAAGGTAGAGTAAGACATAATAGGGAACTTACCTGCTTCATAGCCTGTTCCAAGCTGGCTTTGCCCCCAAACTGTTCCACATAATAATCGACCAATTCCTGTTTGTAAAGAAAGTTCTTGAAGTCAGGCAGATCATTCAATAATTCTCTCAAAGTATCTACCCCAACTTTCGACTCATTCATCGGTTTTTGTCTTCTAAAACAACTTCCAATCAATGTGGGTAAGTTTCGGTTCTTCGATAGGGTGTTATTGGTGTAGAACATTGAGGAATCTAAAGGAAAGTCATCTCCTTTCGAGGCTATGGCTAGCAGTTGCTCGTGGATGGTCTGAAAATTTAAAATTAAGAAAAATTTTTATTTCTATTAGGGTTTTCAAATAATTCTGTGCCCTGTAGTCCTGAAAACTTGTTTTATAATAGGGCATAGAATTAATTGAACAACCTAATAAATAATATAATGCCAGATGTCATAAAAATTGGCATTTTCAATATTAAAAAGCCACGAAACTAAAAATAGTACACAATGTACGTTTTGTGGTACAAATGGTCAAAAAACAAAAAATGGTACACTTGGTACCCTTTGTGGTAGCATTAGTATTTAGAAAGTCAAAAATGAAAAATATTTTTAAAACATCCGCACTTTTAGCGTAAAATAAAAAAAGGTACAGTTAGTACACTGAGTGGTACACTTGGTATCATGAATGGTACCACTAAGTAAAAAATTTTTAAAAAACCAAAAAATATTTTTAAAAATGCGGTTTCTTAGTGAAAAATACAAAATGGTACATTTGGTACCACTAGTACACGTTTGTAAAAATTTTTTTAAATTTATTTTTTGAATTGAATATGCCGTTAAATCCTCATTTTCAACTTAAAAATTTTTTTTGAAAACTAATTTTTAATTAAAAATTCAAAAAAGTTAAATTTTCAATACCCACAGGACTAGAAATGCCATCTTAAAACCCACCTTTCGGTCGTGCGACTTTGTGCAATTGTAAATCCGGTCGATTTCATGGTCCGACAATTTATCAATTGTCTCAACATCAGTACAGTTTAGCATATTAGCTAGTTTTAGACTGTTCTCCACTACCATTTGATTGGCTGAGGTATATAAGGATGGGTGTTGGAGAGCTGCTTGAGTTTGAATCACTTTGTGGAAGAGGGGCTCTAAAATAAGAAAAATTTTAAAATTTGGAAGAAACTTTGTTTACAGAGCTAACAAAAGGCTATTTTTTACAATGGTTTATAAAATGGCAAGAACTTTCTTTACAAAACAAGAAATAGCAAGAACTTTCTTTACAAAACCAAAAATAGCAAAAACTTTCTTTACAACAGCTAAAATGACTTACCTTGATCAGGATCCTTGCTCAACAACTCCACGATCCTTCCACCCCCTCCAGCTCCAAATACTGTGACGTTCCGAGAGTTACCTCGGAACGCTTTAATCGTATTTTGAACCCATTTCAAAGCCAAAGTGACATCCTCGACCTCCTGTGCTACTCGTTTGTCATCATAGTTTAAGCCGAAGTTACCCATGGCACCCTTACGGTAGCTTACTGTAACCAGAATCATCCCACGACAAGCCAGGTTCCTGGTGAGTAAAGTTGGATCTAGGTTTTGAGTGTTTGGTCCTACGTTTAGGAGCACTAGTACTGGGAGGATTTTGGCCTGAAATTTGATGATAAGAGTTTTAAAGTGTTTACTGTAAGTCAACGGTACTGTAATTAAATATAAAGCCTTTAAAAGGAGTTTGGAAGGCTCAGTACCCTACCCTACCCTAACCTACCCCAACTTGACCTACCTTGCAATACCCGACCCAGGCCTAGACATAGAACGGGCCGAGCCTGAATGTTAGGCCTGGCCCGAATCTTTTTATACGTGAAACGGGCCGGGCTTTTTCGAGATTTCCAAGCTTGGCCCGTTCTAAGTTTTGCTCAGGCCCGGCCCGGTTCCCCATGTCTACCCCAGCCAAAACTCTACCCTACTCTCGTACTCTAGATCTACCGTAATCCAAAATTAACCCTTGTTAACTCAACCTTATTTTAGACTTCCCTGTTGTACCATACACCAGATTTACCGTATGCCTTACTATAACCTTATTTGACATACCTTACCCTACACCTACCGTCACCTTATCCTTTTCTACCGGACTATATCCCCATACAGTTGTTAGCCTTGTTTAAACAGTTCAAAAAACTTACCAAATTCCTGCACTTGTAGACATTGAGGTAGAGACAGTCCTCAGCTCCTTTCTTATTCTTCTTTCCAAAACAATCTTTTGGCCAGAACGTGGCCACAGTCGGACTATCAAAATCGACCATTTTTGGACTTTCAAATCGCTTAGCTGACCCATATTTGATTCCAGTAAAGTAATCACCATCTGTCATTTGAAGCTTCCTGCCTATGATCTCGACACCTTCGTACGACACCTTAGTCAAGGTCTGTTCTCCTATCCTTTCGCTGTTCCATAGGAATATTAGCGGAACTGCTAGGCCAAAACATATGCATACTGCTGAAAAAAAGAAAATTTAAATAATTTTAAATAACAGTTATCACAATTAATTTAAAGATTCTGAAGTATATCATGATATAAATTTCAATATTCATTCATTTGCAAAAATTTGAATGTTTGAATTAAAGTCTTAAGACTCCTTGTATGATGGGAGTTGATGAGACCACATTTGATGGCTCATAAGTTTTAATCAGATGACAAATCATAATTACATTTTTTTTATTTTTTAGTTCTATTAATCCTGCCGTATTTTCAAAATATTAATTTCTTTTTTTATTTTCGAATCAAAGCTTTAAAAAAATTAAGCAAACATTTTGAATTTATTTATAAGTTTTTTTGACATCTTGTGGTTGGATGATACCCTTTGATAGCCCCTACCTTTCATGTGAATTAACAACTCATAATGTCACTTATCACAATTAATCTACAGAATAAGACGTATTTAAAAAAAATTTATTTTGTTTTGAAAAATTATAACTTTGAAGAAGTTAAATAAACATTTTAAGTCTTTGAAGACTTCTTGTAGTAGGTCGATGGACACATTTGCTAGCTTATTATTTTGTAATGAAAGTAAAAAACTTAATGAGGTTTACCATGGCTAATCAACAGATTTTTAAGTATAAAATGATGTAAATTAAAATTTTTATGTATTAAAAAAAATTTTCTCTAGGTGTTTATGGGTCAAGCAAAATCAGTTTTAATAGTCATAAACCGTCATAAATTGAAAAATGTCTATCTAATTATCAAACGTTATAAAAACTAAAGCGACATTTTTTAGGTGATTTATCGTTTTGAAACGGAAGTTTTATAGTTTTAAACATCCGTTTTTTAACTTCATTTTTTTAACCTAAATTTAAAATTTTAAAAGGTGTCATTAAATGGTTAAAATATGAAAAAAAAGTGGCTCCAAAAACCTACCTAGGCCTAACTCTAATCTACTCTACCCAACGTGCCCCCCCCTGTGCTTTTTTCGACCCTCGCCCCCAGACCAAAAGTCCCCGCCCGCCCCTGCGTATCGCTATAATTTGTTACCTAAAAGGCTAAAAAAATGGCCACATTACAAAAATATTTATTATCTAAAATCTGCAAAATCAACAAAAAAATCACTCACCAATGAAGCCGGCCTTCCTGACGCCCTTGTCGAAGCTTTTGCCCATTAAAATGTTGGTTTTAGCCATCTGTTCGCTGCAATATAAACATGTTAACGATGGATATCAACTTTTTTTTTCTCGGCGGATTTCTCATCGATGAGAAAGAAAGTTGCGTTTATGTTTATTGCAACCATTAAAAGTGAGAAAAAGGATACGCTACTGGCGATTAGGGAAGAGACACTTCTTGATTGCAGTGTAACATATAAGGTAATGAGAATAATGTGTCATTATGACAAGTAGTATTAGGTTGTTTAAATAATTCTGTGCCTCGAACCCCCAAAAATTGTCTTTGAAAGTAGACATGAGGAACTGGCCTGGCCGAGCCCGATCAAAATTTTGCTCGTTTTTCATGTCTATTTGAGAGTAGGCACATAATTATTTGAACAAACTATAAGAATTGTAGTGGATTGGAAATAATAAAGTTCTTGCCGTTGTTGGTTTTGTAAAGAAAATTCTTGCCATTTTTTGTTTTGTAAAGAAAGTTCTTGCCAAAATAGAAAAAGCCTATCTAGCCTTAGCCCAAAGCTCTAGCCTAGTCTAAGACCGACTCTGCCTTACTCGACCCTACCATGTTTTACCGTAATTTACTTTACCCTACTTTATCTTACAATTTCCTACCCTACTCTACCCCACCCTACATTACCCTACCCTACCGGCTCCCAAAACCGATACTCAAGATCCCCATCGTTCCTTATATTTATATCTACCCTTATATACATTTGATGAAGATGCGACTAATTACAATTAGCACTGCGGGTACCCCCAGAACAAGATAGTTTAAGTGACTTTAACTCGTTCCTTCCCTGCGGCACATTTTCTCAGCCAATAAAGCGTTTAACTCAAGTCTATAAAGATTAAATTAAATATGAAGAAAAAGATCCAGAAGAAACCTTCAACACGATATTGTAATTACCATCTCCTAGCTGGTTTTCTTTATTATATGTTGCTATGGATCGCTTGATCTTCTACTTACGATAATATTAAGTAATGCCGCTGGGTCTCTGGGGAGTGGCAAGTTACTTTTAATATTTGCTTTGTATTTACTTTGTTATAACAGAATTAACAAAAAAAATTTAAAAAATAAGTTTTGAAAATGTAAAAAAATTACAGTAATTCTACAGTAACCCTATGTTTTTTAAAATTTAAAAAAATTTTTGAACAAAAATTGGAAAAATATTTTTTTTTGCTTTAAAAAGCATTTTAAAGCCATAAAATTTTAAAAAGATCATGTTTTGACAAAGTTTTAAAGATCTTTAAAATTGGCGGAAAATTTAAAATTTGAAGTTTGAAAGTGCCAAAAGTAATAAACCTAAAAAACTCAAATTTTATATGTATGCTGAATATAGTAAAAGTAAACAGTACACAAAATTTCAGTCAAATCCAGACTTTACAAGTTAGGTATTTGCTATATGAACCATCCAGTACCTACTACAATATAAGCAAACTCAATTTACCCATACATATCTTACCCTGCTCTACCCTACTCTCTGTACCATCCATATCGTACCCTACTTTCCCTACCATCCTTACCATATTCTCTCTACCTCCTTTACCCTACCCTACCTTCCCTACCGCCTTTACCGTCTCTACTGTCCATGCCACCCTTACCGTCCCTACCATACCCTACTCTCAAAACACTCAATTAACATCTTTTAAACATCATTCTATGACAATATAAATCATTATCTTTCATTCCTAAAGAAAAATCACTGTATATGAATATAACAGCCGGAGGGGGTGGCTAATACGGCGTGACGGTTTAGAACAATAAAAGTGCAAAATCCGGAACAATATAATATAGACATGTAAGACTTGTTGTTTTTCGCACAAAAAACTGAGGAATTAGCCGCGTGAATGGGGTCGGTCATGAGCTGGAATTAATACCGATAATGCATGTCATGTTACTGGCTATACCTACTACAACATGCAAGTTTATGCATGTTATGCTTTATAAAATCGGAATAATGTAATTCCTACATGTTTTTATGACAAAATGACGCATTTGTGTGAGTTCGTATTCACCATTTTAATTTTTTTCTTCTAGGATACCCATATGTTATCATAGAGCATACGGTATCTAAAACTCCGAATTAATGAAACTCTGCCAAAATTAACGATACTGCAGTAAAAATGTGTAAATACGCTTATCTTTTTATACTCTATCAGACCTATATTTCATTTCCTTTAAAAAATTCAAAATTTTTGAAAAGTTTAGGTTACGGTAGAATACGGTAACATAAAAAGTTTGCAAACACTTTTTAAAAAAAAATTCTGTCGTTTAAAACAAACGCAAATTTAAAATGTATAAAAAGCCATTTTAAGTCATACCCAGATCTTCCCAGCCAACATATACATCATATTAACATACCATGAACAATACCTTATTCCTACTATAACACCTCTATTTTTTGCAAACCCCTGCCACTTTTTGTATTAGGAGGAAGTTCAAAACAACACGCATGAAATATTTTTGCAAGTTATAAACAAAAAATTCGGGTTGTTTGTTGTTTTCTGCTTATATTAACATACATCACCTACTACCACGACCTAACTTAATTTACGTTTTATGGCTTTAATTGAAATAATTCAATTTTATTATTTCTAAAATTGAATCTATCATACAATAAAAATATTGAATTAAGGGATTTTGTTGAAGAAAGTCTATATTTTTTAAAAATAATTGAGTTAAGTTAAGTTGATGTTGTTATAGACTAAAATATTGATATATCTCACCAAATTCAGCTCAAAACCCAAAACTATAGTAAAAATATTATAAATATTTATTTTAAGACTTGTTTTTTTTACCATAAAACACTGCGAAAATTCCTTAAATTCCTTTTTATTGTCCAAAATGATCAAAATATCCGTTGCACCGTGCAAGTTTTAAAAGATTTCATAATGTGCCCTCTTGTTGTTAATAACTTAAAATTTTTTACCAAATTAAATTAACTATCACAAAACTTTTATAAAATTATCAAAAAGTCCATTTTAACTAATTAAGACAAAATTTAAAACTAATCAAAATTCATTGCACAGTGCAACACCTTTCTATCTACTGACTGCACTGTGAAGTCAACTCCTTTGATCTTTGCCGCTTGCACTGTGCAATTTCTTTTAGTGATTGCAACGTGCAGTAGGAATTCCCATTTCTATTGCACCGTGCAACGAATCAGATCCATTTGATATCTACGGTCTGCACTGTGCAGTCTCTGTTAGTGACTGCACTGTGCAGTGGAAATGACCAACTCTATTGCACCGTGCCAAATGTTTTCAAAGCCGTTTAATCATAAACTTTGAAGACAAATTAGGGTATTAAGAGTTCTTTATGAGCAACAGGGATTAAATTACTTGGTTTTTGAACATTTTTCGAAAAATGTTCAAAGTTTCTAAAAAAACTTTAAAAAATGCAAAAAAACTTCTAAATTCTGATTTTTTTATAATATTGTGATATTATCCTATACTCCCAACCCCCCCCTCTCCAGATAAATAAATATAGGTCTTTTTCTAATTAAAAATGATGAAAAAGAAACCGAATGCATAATGAAGACTTGCAAACAGAATCGAGATGATTTGAAGTCGGACCTGTTTCAATGTCACTTCGTTAAGCCCATCTTCGTTAAAGATATCTGAATTAAATTGCGTAATTTGCTTAAATCATGCCGTCGCCGGCGAAAGTAAGTGAAGATGTTACAATGCGCCAACGAAAATAGATCTTTAAAAGTAAACACCGTGAAAATCGAAGACGTTTTTTGTCTGGTTTTACTTTTTGTACAAAGAACGACCTTAAATTTAATTGCACTGTGCAAAATTTTTTGAAATGCAAAAAAAGAATTTCAAAAACTATATCTACGCTTTTTGAACCTTTCATAAAAATCACTTAAACATGCCCTTTTACTGATCTATTTACTCATAACGACGTTCCAAAAGTCATCGCACTGCGCAGCCTTGAATTGGCTGCACAGTGCAACACTTTTTCTATTTAACGTTCGCACCGTGCATTCAGTCTCTTTGATCTTTACCGACCGCACTGTGCAGTTCTATTTTGGTTTTTAGTGACTGCACTGTGCAAGCAGTTTCTTTGATCTTTACCGACTGCACTGTGCAGTCCTTTCCTTGCTTTTTAGTGACTGCACCGTGCAAATTCAAAAAAATAAAGAATTTTAAGAATATAAAATTAACGTTATCGTTCGAGACAAATGACATTATTTATCAACATAAGCCATCATTCTGGGCGTAATATTAAATTATTTTGGTCTTCATTCAGAGATAATGTTATCCATATCCTTATTACTCTCACGGAACATATGTAGCGTGTTTTTGCAACATGAATAATTAATATAGCCTGAGGTTGTTTACTTTCCTTGTTTTTATATAAAAAAAATATTTACAGTATAGTAATAAGCTCTAGCCTGAGCCCTAGACTGGCATTAGCCCTGGCCTGAGCCCTAGCCTTAAAACTAACCCAAAAATTTAAAAAAAAGCGTTTGAAGAATGACATTCATAGAGCACATGGATAGTTTAATTTACCCCCCCCTCCAGCCACTTTTTTGTAAACTATTACCTAAAACCAAGCGTCGTATCTTCACGTTACTACGTAGAAAAATAAGCGTATAAGCCTACACTTCAACGTATGTGTTGAAAAAAGTACGATAAATGTTGTCTTTCGCCTTAGGCCCGTAAAAGAAGGGCTGTCAAATTAAATTTCCCCGATTTGTTGGTGAAGATCATTACAACGTCATATGTGACACTTTAGCTTTCTGTTTATTGACATTCTTTTTACAAGCCCTTTAAGGTCTCAAAATGCCCTAAAAAGTGTTTTTAGGGCATTTTTAGACGTTTCGACTTCGAACAGGACATTTTCCGGCCGTTTATGATGTAAAAAGTTTAGTGCCAAATTGGCGCCAAATTCAAAAAATCATTATTTTAAAAGTGCAAGTTAAGACCTAAAACTTTGCATAGATTTAAACAATAATATAGGTAACTAGTGTACCAAGTTTTAGCTAAATTGACTCTTTGAAAGTAAGGCAAATCGAGCTTCAAAAGACCACTGCACGGTGCAATGACCGCAATTCGGTTGACTGATATATAGACCAACAAAACCTTCTATAAAACTCAACGAACACACGTTTAAAGTAAATATAAAGTACATTCTATACGTATAATATGCTTTTTTTGCATTTGACATGCATAAATAAATTTGACAGCAGTAAAAAATGTCATTAAAGGGCAAGTTTAGAAAAGTTAGTGGGCTGAAAGAAATGGTTTATAAAAGTGTACTATTAGTACCAAATAAGGAAAATTTGGTATTGATAGGTAGAACAGACTTTGCAGACCTTATGTGTTTAACTTTGCATGAAAGTAGTGCTTAGCACAAAAGATATGGGTTGTTAAAGTACACCTACAATAACATGCTCAAAACATTCCAAAACTTATGAAAAAAAATCATTTTTTGAACATAAACCTTGATCAAATTAGACAAAATTAAAGCAAAATAACCTTGCCGTAATTTCAAACAAAAATTTTATTAAACTCTTCAACTTGCTCAATAAATATGGCACTTTGAGCCTAAAACTTTGAAACCTCGCGTTCCATAAAGGATAAGTCAATTTCTTCCGTGTTTCTGGCCTGATTGCAAGTCGAAAAGAAGAATGAAAACCTTTAAAATTTATTAAATTTCCGTAGATTTAAAATTTGAAAAACTTGGCCAAGGAATGCCAAATTGGCCGAGCTTGTTTACTAATGCCTTAGGGTATTCTCATCTAAATTACATGGACATCTAAACGGTTTTTCTACAAGGAGAGTTTTATCACTCACTTAGCTTTACTTGTCCATATTAACTTACACTTAAAATTTTAAGCTTTAAAACACAACACAAAAAATGCTTTGAATTAACTTTAATAATATTATTTTTTTCAATATGGATCAACTTATAGATAAATTTTGTCGATATTTACAAAAAAATAAGACATGTCACCTTATATCAGGGTCAGTAGTGTTTATTTGTATGAATGAACAAGAAATGATAATTATGAGTTAGTTAAAAGTTGAAAAATGAGACTTAAATCAAGCTTCCATGTCGGCTTCGTCGTCAATCTTTGGAGCCAAGTAGAACTTCAAGAATCCGTCTTCCTCAATCTGGTACTCCACTACAACTGGTACGGAGGCAGCAAGGGATAAGCGGACTCTGTTCGAGATGTTTGCGGCTTTAGCAAATTGGTTTAGGTATTTGATGGAGAAGCTGAGTTTAACTGGCTCTTTCACGTCCACTGAGACTCTCTGAAGTTGCAAATATTATTTTTAAGCACAGTATTTCACAATACAACCGATTTAAAACAATATTTCCAGCCTCATAAAGTAAAGAAAGCTGGTTTGTTGAAAATAGGAATGTTATCCATGTTGATCTACTTTGATATAGAAAAACCAGTATAAGTAAGCTTTTTAGCGGCCCGAAAATCTAAGTAATAACACAATATACTTTATCAAACCTTATTTTAATTAAGGTTTGCCATTAAAATGAACGATGCTTCTCAGATAATCAAAAAGCCAATATTATCCAGCTTTCTCTACTTTAACATGAAAAATGAAACGTAAATGTTTTAAAAGTCAAAGCTAAAACTGATCACAAAGGAAAACTTTAAAATACTATAATCTCACAAAATTATATCATTTCAATTGAATACTAGGTTCACTCTATCAAGATATTATCCATAATAAACATCAATACCCAGAAATCCCTAAAAACATTAAAAAATAAGTAAAAACTTACATCATCACCCTCTTCATCTTCGTTAGTTTCAGAAGAGAAGCTAACAGTGTTGGTTCCACCTTCACCGCTTGCCTTGAACTGAATTCCCTCCTTTGTGCAGTTGATAACGACGGTATCAGAGTAGATGGTCAAGTCCTTCACAGTTCTAGCGAACTCTGAAGCCGGCATTTCAATAATACAACTGTATTTCTGGTCTGGCACTCCAAGATGTTCACAATCGATATCCATCAACTTGACCAGAATGTCCTGCTTTCTGCCTTTGTTGTCTTCGAAAGTCAAAGTTAGACCTTCTCCTTCTTCATCATCGTATCGGATCAAGCAAGAGTCGTCGTTCTTGGCACATTTTAAGGCGTTGGACATGTGAGCCAAGCTGAGACCAAGATTCACGGCACGATCGCATCTGTAGACGTCAAAAATGCCGACACCGAGACGAAGAGAGACCAACGCTACGTGAGATCCATCCATAGACTAAAATAAGGTGAATTAGTGTCCAACACAAAACATATTGTCTTCAACCCTTTATTATTCATAGAATAAAGCCTCTACCAACTTCTAAAACAGAAAAACAAAGATAAGAAACCTTACCTGAAGATTGAGAGCAGTTTCAGTACAATCGAATGGAGCATCAGTGATCAGATCCTTGATAGCATCAATAACCTTCTTCAAAAGAGCGGATTCAGCGAGTTTAGCTTCGAACATGTTGAATTAAGTTTTAGAATGCAAGATAGATAATATACGAGTGTCCTCGATGCGATTGTAACCAAATAATGAAAGAATTTCCCGCTTTTAAGGATTGAACGCCTTTTTCGCGCCAAATAATTTCCCTCCCTGCTACGGGAGGCCAAAACGTTGTTTTGCGCTTTGAAAGAGCCATGAATATAAGTGGAAATGGGTGTGGTAAGCTGACTTAGGGTGTTATCGTAGATAATATTAAGCTTTTTGACGTTAAGATATAAGAATATTCAATAAAAAACTTTATTTTTGCTTTGTTTTCCTGAAGGCAAGTTATTAGAAATCAACATGTTCAAGTTTAATCCCATTTTTTAAGCTATGCCGTCATTTTAACTCAATGAAAATTGATGTCAAAATAAAGTTTAGGGTCTTTAATTAATTGTATATTAATTTAAATTTACATATATTAGTTAATTTTTTGTTATAAAGGTTTTACAACACATACATCAACATATTTGGAAAATTGACCCGGCCAAACTTTGAATTCAATTTTTAGTCTGGTCTAACATTTAAACTTTTTAAAATAGCTTTTAAAATAAAGTCCAGAGTTTTCTTTACCTATATCAGACACTTTATGTTATTTTTGGATGTTTGGATTTATGTTATAATGCTCTATCTTATGTTAAGCACCAATATTGCCTATAGTCAAAACTTTCTTGAAAACCCCTCAAAACCAAATCAAATTGACACGTTTATAATACAAATAATATCGACAAGATTGTAATAAAGTTAGAAAGTAAACGGTGAGGGACCCATTCCCAGTGGATGCGTCGGAATCGACTGTTTTTGTGGTCGAAACAGGGGCGGCGGGGTTTGAGTGGGTTTGGGCGTGGAAGAGGTGGTTGATGAGCTGGATGAGCTTGATGAACTTGAGCTGAACGGGGATTCGAATGCGCTTGTCGACCGGTATGAGGATTTGTTTTGGTAAAAGTTGTCGGCTGAAAATATTTGATATTAGGATATTTTTTATGTAGTCTGATGTCATGGTTAATATAAAATATGATATATCAAGAAATTTTGCGGAAATAAAAATTTTATAGGGTAAAAACACCAAATATTCTCAGTATTATCAAAATAGTACAAATAGTACACTTTGAGTACGCATGTGACGAAATGCAAATAAATTGTGACACTTCGTCTACAAATATCAATCTTGCCAAAACTAACAAACCAAAAATTAAAAATACTTACAATTGCGACTAAAAACTTCTTGTCGATATTGTTTTTCTGATCCGACCATCCAAAAGTCAGATGTGGGTTTGCTGGACATGGATTGGGCTTTTCGTTGGCCTTTCTTCTCCCAATAGTCTTTAGAGAAGTGATTCGTCTCTGAAAACATATTCAACTGCACTCAGATTGCTCCAATGTAAGATGCTTTGTAGCTTGTAGTGTCTAGTTTAATATAGTAAAAGTATTTTTAGTTTTACTTAAAGGCAAAAAAGTTATGGCCAATTAAAGTAGTGAAGGTAGGATAATATCGGATGAACTAAACTAGCTGAACTCAATTGATTCTAGCTCAATTCCAGTGACTCAACAAGCAAATTTTTACCGCCGCACTAGTAGAATAGGTAACAGTCTAGCGTTTAAATAGTATTTCCCGCCAGTATTGACATAAAAATGCTTGAAATGATCCTTTATAGCTTATATACCCAAAACCGGCTCTCAGTCGATCAAAGTATGGAAAAAACCGTTTGAAATTGGTTTAAATTTCAAAATAAGAGTTGTTTAGATACTCGAATATCCACTTTAAGTTATCCAGGTATTTAGTTCCTTATTGGTACACAAGGGTATAGGTATGATGATATTACGTTTTGTAGGTATATGCTTGTAGAAGGTGTCAAAAACAAAAGTTTTTGGGACTAAGGTTTCAAACAGTACCAGCTACTCTAATTTTTTTGGCGAAATAGTACCAGTAACCCAAGTTATAAGGCGAATTAGTACCAGATATTAAAGTTGTAGGCCAAAGTGGTACCAAAAGCCCAACTTTTAGTCCAAATATAATCAACAAATGTTTAGCCGCTCAATTCTAATATAAACACGAGTTCGAATGCCTTAAATACTTCCCAACTACTGATTAACTATTCATTAGGCAGGGTTGTAATCTCAGAGTAGAATGCTTTATTACAACTTAATGAATGAAAACGTGCGTTCGCTTTCAAATCTTCCCATGCCCAGCTCTTGCGGCCGCTAACGTAATTTGGAGGCTGGAATTGAACCATTCCGAATTCTTTAATCAGCTTGTAATTTGCTAAGTACACTATGGGGACGAGTCCTTGTAGGATTTAAGGGGAGGGGGATGGTGCAACAAAAGGGGCAGTGTAATATAGAGCAGGGGAAAGATAGGGTAGGGCAGGGCAGGGCAGGGCAGGGCAGGGCAGGGCAGGGCAGGGCAGGGTTGGGTAGGGTTGGGTAGGGTAGGGTTGGGTAGGGTTGGGTAGGGTAAGGTAGGGTAGGGTAGGGTAGGGTAGGGTAAGGGTCAAAGCAGATTTCTTCAAAAAATTTAAAGTAAGTTACAGTAATCCTTACCTCCAGCCAACGTCCTCCTTCTGGGCATACCGTACTGCGCGGTGTACTCCTTGTGATAGGCACTGCTCTTGGCCATACTTGCACCCATCGAGTGATTTGGGCCTGTTCCTCCTTTCACTTACTCTAATTGATTGACAGCCGGAGGGAAAACCCTTTTTTTCTCAAAAACCACAAAATTACCTAAAAATTCCTAATTAATAAAAGTAATTTGATTAAGTTTGTCGTACACGCTATGTAGGAAATGTCATTATATTTGGTAATTATTTGTGACTAAAAATAAAAATTTTATAGTAATATTGATTAAAAGTGGCAAAAAAATAAAATTTTAGGTAACAAAAAGTTGAAAAAAAAATTTTTAGATAACGAAATTAGCAAAATATAGCTTTTTAGGTAACGAAAATTAAAAAAAAATATTTTTGAGTAACAAAAATAGTAAAAAAATAGTTTAGGTGATAAAATGGTAATGATTTTTTAAATCTAAAAATTAAAAAAAAAATTTTAGGTAACAAACTGACAAAAATCAGATTTTCAGGTAATAAAATGGAGAAATAAAATTTTTTGGTAACAAAGTGGTAAAATCGATTTTTTATGCATTAAAATTAAAAAAACAAGATTTTTAAGAAAAAACATTTTTTTAAGTAACAAAATAGTAAATTATGATTTTTAGGTATTAAAATTAAAAAACCAGATTTTTAGGAAAAAAAAATATTTTTCAATAACAAAACGGCAAAATTACATTTTTATGTAACAAAAATTGAAAAAAAATATTTAGGTAACAAAATGAAAAAATAATATTTTTGATAATATTATAGCTAAAACAAGAGACTAGAAGATCTGACGTCAACAAAGACGTTGAAAAATGTCAAGGTCTATATAAAATGTCACACAAAGTCAAAAATAAAAAAAAATGGTACGAAATGCCAGTTTTTTAAAAAAAAGTAAAAAATGACATAATTTATATAAAAAGCATAAAGCTTAACATAAGTAATCAACAGTGAGTCGCCATTTTACAGTATTTTCTATTTTTAAAAACGTGGCATTAAGCTAGAGCTATAAAATGGCAAGAACTTTCTTTACAAAACAAGAAATGGCAAAAATTTTCTTTACAAAAAAATGACAAAACTTTTAAAAAAATAGAATTTTCATAGCCTTAGACGTATTTTACAATTTCATAGTCAGCCATACCTGTTTATAACCACTTTTCAATTTAAAACTGTCATTTCAAGTAAATCACGTGAAGAAAACAACTGTTAAACAAGTTGACACTGTTCTTTGTGATAATGGATTTGAGACAGAATGGCTATTTTTTTTTTTTAAATGATAAATCGATCGATCTAATTTGGTTTAATGACATCCATGTGCAACATGAATGGCATTCTCTAAATTTTTTTTAATCCGTGGCTAAGCTAATGCAACGGCTAGAGCTCTAGGATAGAGCTCTAGGCTAGGGCTCTGGGCTAGGGCTCTTCGCTACGGTTTAGATCTCTGGGCTAGGGCTCTGGGCTAAAGCTCTTTTCTAAGGCTTTGAGCTAGATCTCTGGGCTAGGACACCTATTCATCCTTTACACCCGTCTATCGCACCTACACGGTATTGTCCGGCTGGCTATTTAAAATTTGTTTCCGCCCTTCCTGGACCTAGTAGACCTCATTTTCAGTTCCAGGCTTTGGTTTGAGCCCTGCTCTAACTCCCACATGCACTGGCCCAGTCCGGCCTCTTTAAAATTTTCGTCAGCACAACCTAGCCCGACCTGAGACCGAGTTGGAGTGAAGGCCAACGGCGGGTCGAACGTAGTGGGCTCCTTTTCTTTTCTGTTTTTTTTTTAATCTACAGCTAGAGTAAGGGCTAGTTTACCAATAAAACGAATTTAAACTGAAAATAAGACCAGAAAACCCAATTTTAAAACATATTTTTGACAAAAGAAAATATAATCAAATTATAATCATGAAAGCCAAAAATATTGAACATGGGTAATAAAGAAGGCTATTGCAAGGCTGGTACGTAGTTTTCATAGTTTCTTAATTACTTTTGCAATTAAGTTATATTTAAAAACGTCAGTTTTAAATACTGTACAGTACAGTAAAAGTCAAGTATAGAACAAAAAATGGCATTTTTAAACAAAGCATGACAAAAACTTTCTTTACAAAACGAAAAATAACAGGAATATTCTTTTAAAAAACAAGAAATAGCAAGAACATTCTTTACAAAACAAGAAATAGCAAGAACTTTCTTTACAAAACTAAAAATTGCAAAAACTTTCTTTACAGAACAAAAATGGCAAGAACTCTATTTACAGAACAAGAAATGGCAAAAATTTTCTTTAAGAAACTCAAAATGACAAAAACTTTCTTTACATTACTGTTCCTTACTGTTTTCATCCAGCAAGATCAATAAAGCAACCACTTTTGCAGAAACATCCCCCTAAAATGCCTCGTAAAACTGCCATAACATAAGATCACAGTCTTTTTTCCAATCGGATCATAAAACCTGATCCATAAGATTAGGTAATAAAGTTTGATGTTATAAACTAACATCACATTACCTTGTTTTTATCACCTTCTCCCTCCCTCTTTTCCTCCCCCCCCTCACGTTAAACTTAAAGAAATGAAAAAGTACAGTCAAAGGGCCTCATCATTAGCTAGCCATTGTCAACTGTTTTCAAATGTTTTTTGTGACAATTGCTAACGAAAAGTATGACAAACATTAATCAAAGCAAAATTTGTTAGCTTGTGTCTTCATTTTAAATGTTTTTGATGGTTTAAATAGAAGAAAAATAGCAAAAATGACGTTTTTTGAAGAGTAAGGTAAAGGATAAAATATAAAAAATGGCAAGAATACGGTATGACATGGCAAGAATAAAAGGTCTAGCCTAGATCTAAATCTATGTATAACCTGACAAGAATAATTCATAATATGGCAAGGGTAAAGCATGATATAACAAGGATAAGGCAAGGGTATAGCAAGGATAAGACATGACATAGCAAGAAAACAACTTTATAAAGCAAGGATAAGGAATGGTATGGCAAGAATAAGGCGAGGGTATAGCAAGGTTAAGATATAATATAGCAAAAGTGGGGCATAGTATGACAAGAAAAAGGCATAATATCACCATAGTGAGGCATGATATGGCAAAGATAAAGCATTTACCATATATCCAAGGTAAGACACAATATGGCAAGGATAAGGCAAAGGTATAGCAAAGATAAGGTATAATATGGCAAGGGTGAGGCATCATAAGGCAAGGCTAAAGCAAGACTAGCAAACGGTTAAACAAGAGCTAGGTAAGCTAAAGACGTGAAGCTAAGGCTGAGGCTAGGACTAGCTCTGTGGGCTAGGGCTCTGGGGTAGGGCTCTGGGCTAAGGCATTCGGCTAGGGCTTTATATATACAGTTTTTTGCTTAAAAATTCAATTATAAATTGGAATTTATACATATATTTTGCAATTTTAAAATCCCCTATGGCAGCCTAATTGCTTGTTTCTATAATTCTTGTTTACATAAATATACAGCATTTATAATAACAGTGTTACCAAACAGCATATGAATCAAGAAGAAGAAGATAAAAACTTCCTTATCAGACGCTGTAAATGCCATTTTAAAATGATATTTATACATTGGGGTTTATAAATAATAGCTAACTTTAAGTTTTACCCACTACCCAGTAAAACCTACAAATCCAAAAAAAATTTTAAGTTTTGGGTCCCACCACGAAAATCAGGCAACATCCAAAAACCGCAATTTTTAGGTTTTTTAAGGCTTTTAACCTATTTTATAGTACCTTTTAAGGTTTAAGTTGGCTTTTTATTTACCAAATTAAAAAAAAACGTTTAGATACTACAAAGTACTACCCCCACCCCATAGTACTTAAAAAGGCAATGGTTTAAGTGTTGGTAAACACTACAGTTCAATAATGCCAAGTTTATAACCTATATGAATAAAAAATGTGAGACAACTTAAGTGACAATTTGAGTATTTATTTTTGGTTTAGTGGCTAGAATATATAAAATTATAAGCCTTATCTTGAACTTTTCGACCAGACATAAAAAAATTTTTAAATAAAAAAAAATTAAAAATGACGCCAAAGCTCTTAGATTTTTCATATAATTCTGTGCCCAGTCTTTGAACAAGTATCTGGGGTTAGGGGCACAGGATTAGTTGAACAATCTAAGTTCTAGCTTACCCTAGCTTACCTACCCTATCCTCAGCTACCCTCACCTACTATAACTTACTTTTACTGACCACTGCTTACTATATATATATACTCCCACTTATCCTACCTCTACAACAATACCTACCTCACCATACCCAAGCCTAACTCGATATCTCCTTAAAATCCGAGAAAATTCGAGAAAAACACGCGCTTTACGTAGTAAAAAGCAATACATACTATGTACTACATAGTACTGAACACTAATTACATAGTTCAAAAAATTAGCACGCAATTTAAGTACGAAGTCATACTGAAGAATTTTTCTTAATTTCCTTGATTTTCGGCCAAAACATGGCCAATTTCCTGCAAATTAAGGTTTAAAAAACAGGTAATTTTTGGTTTTTTAGGTAGGTTTGTCGTGATTTTATTTATGTTTTTTGAATTAAAAATTTTTTTTGAAAAAAAAAATGAAAAAAACATCATTGAATTTTATAAATAATCTTATAAAAACCGTAAAATTAAGCCTAAAATTAACGTTTTTCAGCTTCTAACAATAAGAGTAAAGCTAACAAAGAAGCTGTACGACCTGCTCAGCTCTGACTGACTTCAATTTTTTTGTATAGAAAGATCTTGTAAATATAAGATCTTTACCAAAGTACTAAGCTACGCTTTTTAGTGAATCTCGAGAAAAGCAAGATCAAAATATTACATTTTGGATTTCCCGCCAAATTGGCATTGTGTTTCAAGCTTATAACGTTGTCATTTTTTTGACTTTTAATTATTTTTCTTTGATATACCAGTAGAAAATCTTTAAATGCACCTACATTTTTAAATTTGTAAATGTGGCTTGTGTGCAAATTCGAAAAAAGTGCTTGAAACAGAATGCCAAATCTACCAAATTGGCGGGAAACCAACATAATTCAAATTTA